TCAATGATCCATAGCTCATTCAAAAACCCTAGAAAAGTTCGGTGCAGGCAATGATTTTCGTTGAGCTCAGGTTCAAGGTTGCCAGATTATGCGATGTTAAAAATATATATTGATATATTATACTAGCCATTATCGTTGCTTTCATGGTTCAAGCGGAATAATTCTACTTTTCCTATCGGGCGGCATATAAGCTAGCTCCTGTGGAAGACTCTTGGTTTGGCCATCATCACAATAGCTAGGGAGGAGTAGATGCGATGAGCATCAATAAGGTCTCAAAATTGATCGCTGCATTTAAGTATTGAATTAATGTTTAAGCTTACGTTTTAAAAGTTCAACGATAATTCTTCTGCTGCCACTTAATCTAAAGACGATTTGATGTACGTAGGTCCTTATTTTCCGTACAAACAATTATTTTTATTTCATGGGTGACAGAACAAGAGACAATTTATAAGCTAAAATTAATATAGTGTAAAGATGATAAAATAGAAATTAGAATTCGTTAAACATTCAACATTTGAAGAGTTCGAGAAGCATAAGAGATAATTAAGTAAAACCTATATTATGGGATATAATATATTTCTCTATATTTATTTTGGGAGGTATTTTTTTCACTCTCCTTGGACGGATGTCAACGAGTTTGTGATTGGTTACTTAATAAGAAGAATGCCATGGTCGACGGGAAAAGTCGAGAAATGGCGCCCAGTGTAAACGGAGTGAGGTGTCTAAGGTTGAGTGCTCACTAATGCATTCGCTACGCTTATGCAGTTGCAGAATCAAACCGACTGTAGTATTTAATAATTCCTTGTTATTCTATTGCTATAGGAATATTGGTTGTGTCAAATGACACGTTGTTGCAATTTCATTTTCCAGGTCCTTATATTTCAAAAGCTTGTTAAATTCATTGTCTGAGAAGGTTTTATTAAATCGAAAGAAGGGGTCTGTAATGTAATCGGTCCTGACCTGGCATCTCGACATCAGTCACTTTGCTACCGCCGTAACGTGGCTTGTCTGTGTCTTTTTTCTATAAATATTTTCATGGCAATTATTCGAATGTGCTCTCTTCCTTGGGGCTAGTTTTTAAATTGTTGTTTTATTCCCCTCCCCACCCACAGACAATGAATTGTACATATGGTAACTATTTAGGACTTCATAGAGTTCCTGAAGCATTATGGTGGATGAAGATTGTTAAGTAAGAATGAGTTGTTTTGGTGTAAGTAATATTATTGTATGTTTGGGTCAGTGTCTGTGGTTAGCTAAGTTTAACGTTAAGACAGAAGACGACCGTCTTTTTCGCCATTCCTCATTTTGGCCTTGAGCCACATTTTGTATTATTATACGAATAAATATCTCTCTCTTCTTTGGTAACTCGACCGCGTGAATTTAAACGTACTACTAGATTGGCCATTAGGTCTCATCCTCTTACTGTTGAACTAGCTAGATATAACTGTATGTTCTATTCTAATAGTTTATTTTCTCTCGCTTCTCACCTGTGGAACTTTATTCTGGTTCTACGCTTCTCCGCCATCTAGAATCTTCAAGAATATAAATGCAATGCCAATCGCCATTTTCTGTCTTCCTGAATCCTGTTCTTTTATTGTCTTTCTCCTCACTAAAGTCTTCTCCTAAGTCTTTATCCTAATAACTCTTTGCGTCTCAGTGGTATTATCACCTTGCTTGGGGTGAAATGTTTTTAAAAAAAAAAAAAGCAGACAGCGATGCCTATGAAAAAACATCAGTTTTAGAATGTTGCCGGTGATATGTATAGCGTGTGGTGTATGCAATGTATGTTTGGTTTATGTATACCAAAGCCTTGGAATATTTTATTACTTGTGATTGTTTGATTATTATTATTATTATTATTTGTGCCTGTCATGTTTGTATCCTAGAGAGCCGGCTCCAAACTATGGTCCTTAGGCCCTATAGGAGAATAGTCAATTAAATGATAGCACTTATCTTAGTATATGGGATCTTCCTAGTAGGGGCGATTTTCTGGGCAATATGTATGTTGATGTTACCTGGAACACTGGAAGCAAAATTGTCCATTCCTTTTCCCTCGAGGCCGAGAGTTCCGATTACTATTGGGACAGTCTCAGTTTTCATTCCGCACACCCTGTTAATCTCGATCACCAGGTCCTTGGATTTACACAATTTCTCGATAATTTTCATGGAGGTGTTTCTCTCAGATGGTACTGATATGTCAATAAGCAAACACTTCCTGAATTTCTTGTCTTTTATGATAATATCAGGTCTGTTGGCTTTTACGTCCCAGAGGATAGTTACATCGTTATTTTGGGTAACTGTATCTAGTTGGTTCTCATACCATCTCTCAGTGGTTTCGATTTTGTGCTTCTTGCATATTTTTCCAGTGCACATATATCTCGCTACCTTGTTATGGCAGTTTCATCATATTTTCCGCAGGTCCTTCATTTCGGGTTAGTTTCATCCTTGATTATGTGACATTGATAGGATCTGTTCGTGAGGCTTTCGTCCTGAGCTGCAATAATTACCTTCAACCCGCTGCTCCTCAGCCACTGACGTGATTTTTGTTGGTCCACATATGCTTCTTTCGTTCTTTTTAGGTATTTGCCATGCAACGCCTTATCCTCCCTGCATTTTGGGGGGTTTTTTTGTTGTTGTTGTTTTTTGTTTTTGTTTTGATAATTTCATTTGATCAATTTGTTTTACTATTTGTTTACTTTTTGTTTTTGGCGTGGATGATATTCGCTTTGTTTTTTGTTGGTGGGATTTCTGGTATATTAAGTTGTTTCTTGAATCTAAAAGGATTGACGTAAATCTGCCAATATTTTCAACATTTAAGAGAAGAATACAACTTAAGAAAAGAAAAGCAAAAAAAACAAACCCTGTGTTTGACAACGCTAAACAATGTTTCGACAGAATGTCTGTCTTCTTCAAATTATATATTTTTTTAAATTTTCAAATATGAAAATATATAACTCTACAAAAACGATAAGTCTTTATACAAATGTTGCCTGTCTTGTAATGCAAGAAACGGCTGCACCGCGTAAAGGCATGAACCTGAAAGGTGCATAATAAGATGGTGACCTTGGTCATCTTGGAATTTTCCGTTAGTTGATCATACTTATTATAAAACCCAGGTTGTGTGTGTGTGTGTCTGTTCGTTTATATATTGGATCGGATTTCCTACATTTTTCAACCGATTTCAACAAAACTTCACAGGACTACGTAAAACTACCTTGCGGTGGTTCTGACAGCTCCAAAAATTTGAAAAACACAATTGTTTTTGCACGAAATCAATTTGAAAACACGATTAAGAGGTATCGCTGTCGCGAGAATGAAAGGGGGACAACTCATATCGAGTTATACTTATTATAGAACCCAGTGTGTGTGTGTGTGTTCGTTTATATATGAGATCGGATTTCCTACATTTTTCAACCGATTTCAACAAAACTTCACTTTTTTTTGGCAGGTAGTGTTTCTTATAAGTATGATTCTATTCAGTCGGTAGACTCATAACGATTTAAAACAATGTTTTTGTTTGAGTTTGGGTTTGACCAATTCTTAAAAAAAAAAAAATAATTAAGACATGCATGTCCGTCAACCTTAAACAATAATCTTTGTCAATTTTATTTTTCAGTCTTTATGATGGTCGATACTTGAGCTATCTCTTACTGTTACATCCCCGGGCAACGCCGGGCTCTACTGCTAGTTAGTTACTAAGAGGAATTAATCAAACGGCTTAATATAAAACTTATGGAACTCTCTTGACATTCCCTTTATTCTCCCGGATCGGGAAGTTATTAATTTGCATACATAACAATCCTCATGTATTTTAAGGTTCGAAAGGTCGGTAAATTCTGAATATTTTTTCATAATGTGCACCTTAAGATGTCTGTTGAAATTACGTTTTGACACATTCATTACCAGTACAGCCATCTTTTCGTTAAAAGACAAGCAGCCTTTGTACAAAGACTTATAATTTTTTTTTGTAGATTTGTATATATTTATACTCGAAAACATTTTTTTAAAATATAACTTGAAGAAGGCAGACATATTGTCAAAATATTGTTTAATATTGTCAAACACTGTTTTTTCTTTTGTTTTTCTTTTCTTAAATCACGCTCTTCACTTAACTGTTGTTATTATTATTACTATTATCATCATCCTCACCATCATTATTATTATTATCATCATTATTATTATTATTATCATCATCATTATCATTATTATTATTATCATCATCACCATCATTATTACCATCATCACCATCATTATTATTATCATCATCATCATTATTACTATTATCATCATCATTATCATTATTATTATCATCATCACCATCATTATTATTATTATCATCATCATCATAATTATTATTATTATTAGTAGTAGTAGTAGTAGTAGTAGTAAAAGCAGTAGTAGTAGTATTGTTTCGCACGTTGACGTAGCCATTGAAAATTCAGTCCTTGTGACATGGTGTCAACAAGAATCCTCGCTGGCAGTTTTCTGGGGGTCGGCAATTTTAGCCTCAATTCCATTTTTCCCTAAGCCTGTTTTCCATTTTCTAGGTGCTGTTCCAGTCTCTGCCATTACATTAGTTCTATATTCACGTTCCATAACGTCTTCATCTCCCTTCTGAATTATTATCATTGTTTTTCTTGTTGTTGTTTCCTCTTTGTTTTGTGTGGTACGAGTTAGTCCCAAGTCTTCAAGAGACAACAATTATTATTATTATTATTATTATTATTATTTTGCATCGGAAAATAAAAACAGGTGAGGTACCATTCTATCAGAAACAATAAACAATGTAATTGTGGTCAATGTGGGGAGTGAAAATTACCCGAGTTGTGAGAAGTACATATGGCTATGATTGTTTGCAATTCAGATATTTTAGAGTCTACCAGTTATTTGATCCGTGTATTTGTTTAGTTCTTTTGATATCATTTCCAAAGGCCCAACAACAGGTAATGTTGTCGTATAGAGACACCACATTCTACTGAAATCCATCTCATTTTCTTCAG